AGATTTCAGCGTTCTAGCTTCTCAGATCCCCGAGTTATGAACTTACCCGAAAAAAATTTTGGCGGGTCCGTACGCGGGTACCACGTTTACCCGGGGGATGGGTTTGAAGATTTCAGCGTTCTAGCTTCTCACATCCCCGATTTATGAACTTATCCGAGAAAAATTTTGGCGGGCCCGTACGTGGGTACCACGCTTACCCGAGGGATGGGTTTGAGTGCATCAACACCTAGTTGGACGGAAAACATTACCCTAAGATTTCAGCTTTCTAACTCCTCAGATCCCCGAGTTATGAACTTACCCTAAAAAAAATTCTGGCGGGCCCGTATGCGGGTACTAAGCGGGTTTTGGCGCCAATTATGGGAATTGGGGCCGGCAAGTGCATGTAGATTAAGTTCCCGAAATTTCAACCCCGCAGCTTTTATTTGTCTTGAGATGAGAGTGCGTGACTGACGCACACACAGACACACGGACACACAGACAGCCCCTCGTCAATATGCTTTTCTGCATTGCATAGCTGCAAAAAACGCATAAAAAAGGAAAGGGGGGTACTAGTCAGAAGTTCGAGGCAAGAACTGGAGACAGCAGCAAAGAGAAAGCGATAATACAGTCCTGTTTCTCCTTCGCTATCCTGTTCCCCAAACCTGCCCGCAAAGTAATGTCTAAGCTTCTGAAATAATCGTACTGTAATCTTACACATCACCAATGGAGCCATAGAACGCTGAAAAATGTGCGAAAAAAAAAATGAAATCATGGCAAATTCATTGTCGAGGACAACAGTGTGGTGTGCAGATGAGACAGAAGATAGCGAAAAATTGGACGGCGGAGGAGGATAAAGGAAATGAAGCTGAAAAGAGGAAAAAGAGGAGGGAGGGGCAGGTGGAGGACGGGTAAATAAAAGGAGGAATGCAGTATCACGGTTGTGGTTGTGCCAAAAGCTACACGTCAACATTGCTGAGTTTTTCTCCCGAGAGATTATCTTCAAAATTCATCTGAAAAAACGCGCCAAAAGCTACACGTCAACATTGCTGTTCGAGAAATTATCTTCAAAAATCATCTGAATAAGCAATGAAATCGCAAAAATCATGCATATATTGAAAGATAGCATCAGCTCATCGTCGTCACCGCTATTCGTCGTCCCGCATTCGTCAGACAGTAGTCGTCCATTTTTCGCTTATTCCTCTGGCATCCTACCGTTGGTTTACATTTGGCTTGTCCTTCTATCAGTTCATATCATTCACATCTCTGATTGTTTTAAAAAATTCATTAGAACCGAATAATTTTGACCTGAAGCAGATCATAAACTGAAGCTAAAGAAGTTGAATCCGAAAGCCTTCATGGATCAGCTTGGAAAATTAATCGAATCGCTAACGAAGCCACGTCATGAAGAGGATTCCATCGATCGGCTGAATTATCACCTAACCACCATAATACTCCTGGCCGCTGCATTCACTATTATCGCTAAAGTTTGTGCATTAAAAATCTTAAATTACTTTCAATTTGGAGCTATGCGAGACGGTACTTGGAAAAAGCGATGGGCATTAACGGAAGATTTGGAAATTTAGGATCAAAAGGCCTGGCATAGCTGCGACCCGGTATGTGAGAACGCCCTACTAGAACCACAAGTATTGTTGGGCTGCCTACGTTGATTTCTCATGCGGTCCACAGTATTGTTGGTATAACAGGTCAAGGATCTTTATTGCATGAAAGGTTTAAAGCTTTGGTCATATGCTGTGTTATCAAACTTTTTTTAGAAGCTGAAAGGGACAGAAGAGAGACAAAAGTTGTTCAAAGCAAAAGGAGTTTTTTTTCTCTTTTTTTTGTAAAGAAGAGGTGATTGGAAGTGGCAAACTGAAACAAAAACGAGTGAATGGTATTGCAAAACAATGAAGGACATGAGAAAAGAATGAAGAAAAAAATAACGATACATTTTTACTCATTCCGGGAAGTACCTAAAAATGTGCAATGATTAGAGAGAAGGGCGTTTTGACAGCATGAAATCACTGCATCACATATGAAAAAACCCCCTCCATATTTGCTCTCTACAAACAGAGGAGGCAGTCGGAAAGTAGCAATAAGAAGCAGTAAATGTCAGCAACAACTGGGGTCGCCGACAAGACCATCGATGACTTCTCTTCAGGGCTGCTTACAAACACGCTGACGGCAGTGCTTTTCGGCCTATTGGCTAAAATAAAAGTGTGGTATCATAAATATAACGTCTGTTAAATTTGCACAATACATCACTTTCCTATTCTCTAATTTACCTGGGAATTCAATTGGGTGATTCGAGAGTGAAGAAGAAATGGTTGATCTAAGCGCTTGCTTCATTAGATATGCGTTTGCAAAAAAATTGCAGTAGGAGAAAAAATTTGCGGCCAATCCGTTTCGGCTCAAAAGACTCGATTGATATTATAGGAATATGGTGGCGATCCAATACAGTGCTGGTTGCCCGCACAACTGGCATCCCAAAGATCGTGGGAGCAATACGCAGAGGATTATTGTTTCATCGAAAATACTTACTATATTCCGCTGGAGCAGAATCTACCGCAAAGTGAGGAGCATCGCAATAACAAAATGATTACTTATTATCAGGTAACAATATACATTTTGCTATAAAAGCAACAATCGATGTCGCTGAACAACCTAAGCACGGCCATACTGACCAAGGAAGGATGCCTGCACGCTAGTTACCCGATCAGCACATTATTGACCTGGCATTCGTTTCCCCCATTCTTTTTCCGCTCCCTTGTCGTACATGCGATCCTTTGACCCACCTATGGCGCACATTTACACAAGACCACGACCAAAAAATTGATCCATACAAAGCGAACGAAGAAAGACATGCAACACCTTTGTAATCTCTTCACCATTGACATTCTTAGTGGCAGTAAAAAATGCGAAATCGACATGTTATCTTCTAAAGTTATACGATCTGTTAAGAGTATAGATACGGAAATTTTTGAGGAAATTGTTAAAAAAAAGCTTCTGGCTATTAAGGAAATTTTTAATAATTAAAAAAGAAGGATAGAATGGGAGAAGTCGAGATTACGTGCACCGTATGTATCCAGCGTGCGATCAGCTTCGTAGCTTCAAGTACTGTCGGAGATCCAGTGTTAAATTGCTATTAAATGCTAATTATGAGACTCAAGCAGAATTACAAACGCTAATCAAAAAGTAAGCATTAGCTACTAGCGAAATGTATTGGAAATATTAAAGACAAAAGCCTACAGCATACAAGAAAAAAAAAATAACTGAAATCAAGACTTTTAAGTTGCAGCTGCAGTTGTGAAAAAGATGTCAAAAGCAGTGAATCTAGTCCAGGACTTTGCTGTGGAGTCAACAGTGTTTCTAAGAACCTTACTCCATAAATTATATTTGTAAAATGATGAATAAGCTTATATCCCCTCTTCATCCTTATTTAAGATCATCTATTCTCATCCTTCAACGAACATAAAGTTTTCCCCTCAGTATAGTTCTGTACGATGCTAAGAAGTTGTTGTTGCAGTGGGTACCATTCACGCTGATGCTGCAAGCAATGTTATTTGTTGTTCCACATGTGTTCTGGCGAATGCTCAACTGGACTGCAAGTTCGAATTCACACTTTTATGATACTCTTCCCATTTTTTTGTACACTTGGCTGCTTATTTAACATGCACAGGCAACAGCAAAAGATAAAGGCGGTTGCAGTTTTGTTAGTAAAATACCGCTTCACTGACCGTGGGTCTGGTGGTTTAGTGGTTAGCATAATAGTACCAAGCATAGGAAAAGATGATATCAGGAGACTCACGATTCAGAAAATAAGAAAACATGTACGGTTTCTGCAATGATGTTCAGACTCCTAATAATACAGATGTGCAGACACGTGCAGTGATATCGATGGGGAGCAGCGCACGTCAGATGGATCCGTGTAGCAACGAGGCAAAGGAGATGCTCGATGCGATCGCTAATCATATGTATCATGCTAATCGTGCTAAGCCCTTACGCAAAACGCTTCAGAACACCAACCCGCTCATCATTTTGTCAAGGTTTTGTCGTTCATTTTTTTGTGAAAAATCAGCGAAATGGAAATGAGGTGTGCAAATAAACGTAGCCGGTGAACGTCGCGTGTCAGCAAGTGATACCCACGAAGAAGTAAACAACCAATCGGAAAAGTGGCGCATTTGCGTTGACTGACTGAGATGTGCATTCCAGGACTGAAGGGCTTGACACGGCTGCGCCCAGCGTGTTGGTGCATTCCAGTAACTTCACAGACATAAGTTCTCCAAATCTGTTGTCTAAGTGATCTCGGAATTCTTGGTATTAATCCAAGGAAACTCTGGACGCTGTGCGCGTATCCATAGGCTTGCAGTGATACTTCGAATGATGTTTGTGTTAGAAATGTAAAAAATAATCCAGAAATGTGAATTTTTGAAAGATTGCAGGATTTTCGCGAAGTCGTACCTCACCACTCTCTATATAATAACGAAGTTGCTATTCATTGCGAATGCTTCTCTTCAAGTAAGCTTATTTAACTAATTTCGGAATTCAACTTCTTACTTAGTTTATAGGCTTTAGCAGCCGTCTCGGATAACTGAGGCTGTATGAAAATAAGAGTAACGCTGCTTCTCAAATTTTGCTAAATATCTTATCAATCTTCAGTTTTGGATTGTATCGTTGTATCTGGGTGGAAATGGTTACGACCTGACAAAAGCCTTGATCGAACAACGTACATGGCAGAACACCGGCCTTTTTCCAAGAGTTACTATGTGCGATTTCAAGGTTTTTATTGGTTTCATATTTTAAGCTTCTCAATAATTTCTCATTGATTTTTTCTGTATTCTACGGATACAGTTTTGTAATATCGACAGCTTTTAGAAAAAAAACTGAAATACACATTGATGTAAAAACATTTTGAGATCCGTGTACTGGGTAACATCCATCATCATACAATCCAGTGCGTCTTGATGGCCAATATGTTCAATGAAAAAATCTACATTGGCTTGTGGTGGTGGCTGTTGATCGTGATTACCCTCACTGCTACAAACCTCGTCTACTGGCTCTACGTACTCACTTCTGCAAATTCCAATGGCGCCTTTCTGTTGCGACTTATTAGACTTCGGGTTAGCCATAATTTCATCCTACTGCGCGTAATTTTTCGCTGTCTAAAATGATTTTATCTTTTCTACTCCGCAAAGCAAACAGGGCGATCAGGGCTTGTTAATCGCAACGAGCAACCAACGAAAAAGGGAGTCACCGACAACATTGCCAACGGCTGATTGGTTACTGGCACTTGCTGTCACTCAGATTTTTTTTGAGTGCATCTGTCTTTTACAGGACAGAATAATTAGCGGCGCGCACCAGGGGGCCGGTGTGTAGCTAAGTCCAGCGGAAGTTTGCCTGCTAAAAATTTTCCTGTTTTACACTTTGACTCACGCAAAAATAGTCGATATGATGCTTGATTCCTAAGCTGCGAAATTTCCCACTAAAAATTTGACGGACCAATGTGTGAGACGTAAGCGTATACGAAGCTGAGTTTGAAACTTCGGGCAGAGATTATTTCAAAATTTTAACCTCCTAGTTTACTGGTTATAAGTAACCTTCGGGCCAAAATTTACATGTAGTCGTAGGCGTACTCAGATCCTAAATTTAAGTTTGTAATGCAAAAAAACATCTTCCTAAAAAAAAATCCTCCTGCATGAACAAAAACATCCCCCTGAAATTTTCAGCCTCTTAGCTCTTCTAGTTTCCAAGATAACAATTTCTCCTGCCAAAACTTTCACGGGGCCGTATTTGATATCCGGGCGCACGAGAAGGCTGAATTTAAATTTGCAAGGTTGCAAGCGGGCAAGGAACATTATCCTAAAATAACAGCTTCCTAGCCTTTGTGATTTCCGAGTTGAAAATGAGGGACAAAACGCACTCGGAAACACACAAGCACATACACACGCGTATAAACATAGGAGTATGACAATATACGTTTTATGCTGCTGTTACACAGAGTAAAACTCAAAAAAAAAACACACACACACAAATACAGACAGAAAAGAGGTGCGAAAATTTTTGTTAAAGTGTGAAAATTTTTGGACAACCACTGATATTTCGAAGCAGTCACAGGCGAAACCTATTTAAAACACATTTCCTGTGTTGGCTAATGTTTGTGATTGCAGCGCCAGCTGAAGGACGACATGGAGCGATATCAGATCGAAACATTCACGGAACAGTTTGCCGGCGATGCAGCACTAGTGCTGCGACTATTGGCGCAAAATGCCGGCGAGCTGGTCGCAAGTGGTGTGGCCGCGCGACTGTTTGACACTTTCAAAAACGACAACATAATTCCGTGAGTTAATTTCTGCACAGTTTACGGTTTATAGTACAGGCTTGTAACAAGATTCAGTTCACTCTGATAAAATATTGCTACATTGGTATAGCGTGAGCAATGTTATGTAAGCAGTGTGCGCCAGAAAGATGAGTTGGGATGGTAAGTCACAACAGGTGGACAAAGCGGATTATTGAATGGTAGCCTTACAGCTCTGAAGGTCCGTACGATGGAAGAATGCGCTTAAGCCCTGACAACTTTTTGTCCAGGAACTCACTTTTCTAGCAGCTGAAAGCCGTATTTTTCTTGAAAACCTTTACCAAGTTTTTTTCCTCATCATTGACCTGCTTTTTTCTTGACAGTGAAAAACAACGATACGAAGAGCTGGATGGAGTCAACTACAAGCCGCCGCCTCCATTCAATGATATCCAGCGCAAAGATAATGGCTTCGCCAGCACCTAAAAACTATTGAAACGATTGCAAGCGTGTTACTCTTTTATTATTTAATCGATAACCAGGTGATTGAAACTGTGAAGCAACCATGTACAACTGGTTTTCGACACGAAAACTTTGGTCTCCAATTCCTAAGTCGAAACTAAAGTCGAAAACCCGAAGCCAAACTAAAAAAATTTGTAAATACCACAAAATTGGACGGCAAGTTTCGTAATTTTTTAATACAGGATTGGTTCCAGTAACACATTCTTCTTCCTTTCTTCATCTTCGCCCCCTTCTTCTCCTCCCTCTCTCTCGCCATCGAATTCTACACTCTTTTTTCGAATAAGTTCCGTAAACTGGTATCGAGAATTACCATCATAAGTCGATAATTCGGTTTTATGCGTATTAAAAAAAAATTGCTTCATGTCCTAGCTGGAATGAAGGGACGGGGGTGCATGCAAACCTGTTCTGCATTTGCTTTCAGTCTCTCTAATTAGCAGCTCGAATTCATCTTTATGTCATAAATTCATGTAGAAAAGCATACACATATCTGTATGTGCTTACTCGGGGAAAAAGTTTTTCTTCGGTTTGTGCACAGTACAAAGAAAACAACGGAGAAACATAATTAAAAAATTAAAAGCGCTCAATTTTTACCTTTTCTGTATTCCTCCATATTAATCGTCATACGAAAAAGAGCAGAAAAAATGAAGTGGGTACCCGCAATGATTGCAGACGCAGTGAAAGGGCACCGGCAGATTTCAAAGATCAGGAGATGAATCAAGATAAAAAACCTTATTTACAGTATGCCCGCCGTTTTCTGTTTTGTTCAAGTGTAACGCAAAACGTCAATCTATCGCACTATGAAATCGCCGTTCCATTTGTAAGCAAACTCAAGAACACACAGCAGGTGGATTCATAATTTCCAGATATTCCATCTCTGTTACCACTGTGGTTCTTGGGCACGCTAGTAAAAACCCGTAGAAGAAACGCGCCTGCTTTTTCCTAAATGTCAAAAACAACGAATACCCGCATATTTCTCATCACTTCGTTGGGCAATGGTGTTAAATTACCTTCGGCAATTTTTTGGATAATTTCCCACCACAAGTGATTATGCTAAAACTGCAGCTATTTGCATAACATAATATGAATATGCAAAAATAAAAAATAAATTATAAAAATAAAAAACTATGTAAAGATCAGTGGCGCAGCTCGCAGGATAGCAGCAAAATAAACAAAACACACTGAACAGTAAGAGCTACCCGAAAATCCAAGTTCAGTAATAATAATTATAAACAAATCAGTTACAAAATGACAGCAATTTTTTAATGCTCAGAAAAGCAATACTGGAAAACGCACTGGGAAAATTTTACAATTCATCGGATGAATTTTTTATTCATTTCTTATTTTTATTTTTCGAATACGGCAATTTTCTTTATTCTTTTGAAAAACAGCTTTTTTATTCCAATCATAATTTGGAAAAATGAGAAAGTTCTATAAGCGCCTAAATTCACTCTCTAAAAAAAACATTTTTTTTACTCATGTATATTGGATCTTTTTCGTATTTCTATTAATTTTTTACTCATTTTGCTAAAAATTCATTCCTTTGCACTTTTCTATCTCCAAGTTCATAAAAAATTCTGAAATTATAAAAAATTCGAATTATACCTAAGTTTATACTTCTAAAAAAGTTCACTTATCTATTCCTTGCTTTTGCTTTCTTTCTCTTGCTCTCTAAAATTGCTTGTTTAATTCATCTGATCCAATCAATCGAACAATTAATACAGAACGTCAATCATTTTGGGTGTTAAATCCATGTCGTCTGATTGATCACAAAGCACAGTCTGCTTCACTACCAATATATAAAAAAATCAGTGGACGTAAAAAATTCAGTTCACTTCGCTAGTATCATCAGATGGTTCAGCTGTTACTATCGCGATAACGTTGATGCGGAACGAGGATCGGTGGTCGACTGCGTTGAGGAGACAACACCTGAATCTCCACATTCCGTTAGATGCACCGCTGGCTGCTCGTCTAATGGAGCAAACAGGTACAGTGGTACTGTCCTGAAACATGGGCACAAACAGCTGAGACATTTAACATTTTTAAAAGTGGAAATATCAAAAATGCAGGTGTATTAAGGTGAGAATGTTAACAAAATAATAAAACGCACTTGTGATAAATTCGATTTTTCGCTGATAGTTGATACATATATGAATGTATTAGTATATCGGTGTACTCATATTTATAATCGCACCCGAAAAAAGTGAAGATAGCTTAACGACTAACCTATACAGTGCATCTCGGGCATCTTGTCTGCCGAGTTCTTCCAAAATGGTACAAAGCCTGCCGACTGTAGCTGTTTCTGGAGATTGCAAAGCCCATTCGGCGAGCAACTGATCGGTCCTTGAAAGACTTTGTCCGGTTGAATCAACTTCCGGCAGCTGGTCAGTAAGATTCAATTTTACTGCCAGTATGGACCTAAAAACACCAACACTGCATTTAAGTATACTAAGAATATCAGTACTGTCTGGACTATCAGTGTAAGTATCCTGTATCAGTGATGCTACTGACGTCCACACGCCAGTCCCTACGCTTTCGGGGTGTATTTCACTAAAGTGTGCGCCACAGGTTCAAGGGCCACTCGAGTGGTCGTTTACTTTCTCACAAGTACTACCGATCCTCGACTCACGTGGTCGCAGTGACATCCAGCACGCCTCTCATTCCACAGAGAGTACGATTCTTCACACGGTCTTGAAGAGACACGCTAAGATACACCAAGAATACCAAGACTGCTTGCGCTGTCAGTGTGGATATCCTCCATTAGTATTTGTTGTTAGTAGGATGCTCCCACATGTCGAGAGAAGCTCTGCCAGGCCCTTCGATCTTACCCTGCACATATTCACTCAGTATCTAGCGACTATTTTATATTATGTACGCCACCTCTTCGGGAGTCGCCCGAGTGGTCGCTTACTTTCCCGATCGCACTACTCATTAATGCGTACTGCCCATCGATCGCCAGAAGCCGAGCAACATGTGCTGCCCATCATATTTTTCTTTCCTGAACGCCGTTCATCTGACGAAGGGTCTAATTATTTGTACGGTTGTATTTTGAAGAAAACCCTTTCGAAGAAGAAAAAATTCCCTTTCGAAGAAGATAGTCCAACAAAGGCAGAAAGAAGTGAAACTAACCAATCTCGACCCATCGCATCTGATGGATCCAATAAAGCAGCTAATTCACAACGTGTTGCGAGTTGCAGTTGCGCAACACCAACGTCGATGCCTAACGTCAGCACAGCTGCAACATCGCGTGAGCCGAAACATACAACATCCGTGAACAATTCATCAGTTTCCTGATTGTTACGGATTGTCAATGATTCTGCTTGTTGCATTGCCATGATCGTTTCTGGCGCATAGACTGCTGGATTTACTACGTGTTCCTGGAAAATGTTGTTTTTAATGACTGTTCCACAACAAAAAGAATGAAGTGACGATGTTCATTTTCAAAAAGCAAAAATTTACTTTTAAGTGTTTAGGAGAAAGGAAATGACGCTCAAGTGAGATGCCGGGAGCCACTTCTTGGGCAGTCTGTTCAACGAGATTCGTAACATCCTCCACGAAATAGAAGCATGAAGTGGCAATTTCACACGGTCCTCGAACTTGAATTTCGACTGCATCGCCATGCAAACGAATTAAAGCCTCCATTTGACCAGAGCTCATCTTACTACAACCATACCACTGCATTAGGTCAGCATCCATCGGATCCTGAAACAGAATGCTTTTACCCTGAAGAATATATGCTGCACTTGAAACTGCTGTTCAGCATGTTGGGGCGGTAATATGGTTCAGTTGATTCGAATTTCCAGTACACAGACCAATCTTTCTATGATTCGATCACTATTTCGACGGTTTATTACACTGGCGCATGCAAGCGAGTCAAATCGTCATAATCTTGCTTTCAAACAACCCTCGTAAAAAGAAAACACCGGTAGATTGGAAGTGATTAGTTGCTGCTGATAGTGTATTGTATCTGTGCTGATAGTGTATCTGAGCTACTTTCGAATGCCTCGGCACCACGTAAACAGCAAATTGTGAACGAAGTTCAGACCCTCGGCTGCACCAAGATAATTTTACCCATTACTTCAAAAACTTAGATACTTCTGAAAATGTTTTCTGCGGTATCTACAGTATTTTGTAACTTTCCAGTGAGTTAGGAAAACTAAAACTGCGAAAGATATACCTGAAAGTCATGCATTGATCTGCGCAGTGCAACTTGAATTCGTGGAAAGGTGCTCTGAAGAGAACGTTCCATACCACGCATAGGCAAAACTCGCACTCCACCATAAACATACGTTGGCCGATCCCGTTGCCAAATATCTCTGGAAGAAATATGTGTAAACTAAGCAATGTGAATGATTAATAAGAAATCAGAATTTATGACTGCTAACTAAGAGACAAGAAATCAAATCCCTCATAAAATACGAGAGTGCAATGTATGTTGTTCAGTGAAGAAGTATTTTGATTCTGAATCCGATGGATGCTCATCTGATGCAGTAGTATGGTTTTAATAAAATGGACTCTGATCAAATGAAAGCTTTAATTCTTCGCACGGTGGCGCAGTTGAAATTACAATTTTACCTAATTTATAACGAAAATCAGAATTTATGTAAAATCACTTAATAACTTACTTGGGAGGATCTAAAACGTTAAAGGCTGGAAATTCAAATTCCGCTTCACCATTCGAATCGGTAGGAGCGCAGAGTTGCAATGTATCAAGAATCCGCAACAAGTCCGCTGGTTCAGCAATTTCTGGATAAATAGGTGCAAAATCATCAATGGCATAACAACCATTCATACGACAACGTGAGAGAAATTCAGCGGAAAGAAGATTGCCCAGTACATGGGTACCAAGCCATTCCGGTGACAATACAACATAATCCAACTCTGACACTTCATCACGAAGATAAACCACCTGCAACAGAAAAAATTCCATTCCTTCGTCAAGTATATCAAAAGGACACAAAGGCCATCAGGACAACTGATATGAGGATTGTTAGCGATATTACTGGGATGTCTCTACGTGCCGGGGGTAGCTATTTCAGGCCCTCCCTCTCTTTTGCTCGATGTGTTTCATCTCGCTCTTCCAAAGTTGCCTGAATAAATCGTTTGCTATCTGAATTAAAATGCGTTCCTACGGCAGTTATTACAAATCGAATAACTGTACAACATTCAATGTTTCTCGACTGACCGTCAGCACTAGTCAGTTTTGATGCAGTCGCTAATTTCAATGCACTAAAATGCTTTTAAATTCTTCTCTGCACCAAATTCCAAAATGTTCACCCCTCCCACATGTGGCGGCTACTAATTTGCTTGGAGATAAGCTAAAAAAGATAGGAAGTAAAAAGCATAGGCAAAGATACGAGTCCCAGAACTACCAATAGATGATGCAGCTTCGGGTACAGTAGCCAAGGAAACCAGCTGAATAGTCACTCTGAAGAAGGGGCAATTATCACAACTCGGCTCGGCGCAGCTTGAACACCGCATACACCATAACCCTACTCTCCCTGTCTCACCTGCGGCATCAGAATCCTTTCGCGCTATGATAGGGCAAAGCTACCCACCACTGCCCGGAAAAAATCCTCGCTAATTATGTATGGCGCTGGCCGAACTGAAGTTTAGTAATTTCCAACAAAAGGCACCCAATATGCGAGCGATAATTGATTAAACCAACAAAGCAAGTACTGTAATAAAACCTGTGCACTAACTAGTCTTCCTACTGTAAAGGTGTGAGCCGGTGCACAACGAAAACCCAGGCTGGAACGCACCAGGCGGGCCGGTGCGATTATGCGTTTTTGCACTTCTCGTGCCG